ATTTAACGACTATCTTACTTAACAATGGGGATTGTGGACTCTATGGTGGCCATAAATCTGAACCACCTGCCTGCCTCCCATTCATCAACTTGGCTTTATTGCCAAACGACGTCAGCGTCCTGTGTCCCCCACCCACACACACACACACACACACACACACACACACACTCTTGGTGTTTAGACGATAGCGAGGCAGAGCCGAATCTCTTGCCTTGTTAAACTTCGTCTTCAGCAACTCATCCATAGAGGGAGAAAACATTTCACTGCCCTCCTGTAATAAGTGAGTGGAACAGAACCTATTTATCTGCTGTAGAAATTGAACTAAAACTGTATCATCAGCTTTCCCAACTTCCATATTGCTAAACCGGGAGGGAGCTGTTTGTAATATTATCCCATTTGCTCTGTCTAGTCCAGGGAAAGGAAGGGCTGCGGGCTGACCTTAGAGCAGCCGTTCCAATGTCAAGGTGAGCGCGATGGATGAGTGGGAGGGCTTGCCTTCGGAAGTGCTGGGTGCTGAGAGATCGGACAGCTGTTTGTCTGAAATGGTGCAGGGTCTCCTGCTTGAGCAGGGGGTTGGACTAGAAGACCTCCAGGGTCCCTTCCAACTCTTGGGCTGTTCTGCTTTTAGAAGGGGAAAGCTTTATTTGGGTGACATTAGCTCTTCATAGAACAGGCATTTTGTGGGGAAACAGAAGACTAATGCAAATATTGCTGGGGGTGGAAATGGAACAAGGCTTCCGACAAACCGCTTGGATCCTTTGCAGCTTCTAATAGTTTAATTAGACTCTTTAAATATTTTCCATAGAGAATTTTCCGGGGATATTGCATTCTGCTCCCTTCGTGTCTCTGTTTAGCAAATCCATCAGCCGAATCATTGCAAAACACAAGAGATGAGGCATTTCCACAAGAATAAAGTAAAGTAAAGTAAAGTAAAATAAAGCATTGTTTCCTCTGGTACAATGCTTGTCCAGAAAACTTTCTGGCTCCGGCTCTGATTTCTCCCAATGCTTAGGTAGAATGGCAACCTTAATTATTAGTAGGCATCCAAGTTTATGTATTCTGTTGTCTATTTTATTTTAATGTTTAAACTTTTAATGCTTAATGTTTTCATGTTTTTTAAAAATCTTCTAATTGTATTATGCTCGTATTTATGGTACTGTAACCCATCCAGAGTCGTGTGGTGGGCGGTATATGAATTTAATAAATGAACAGTGGCTGCAGAAAAGAAGACCATTTGCCAAGGGAAGTGAATTCTTTCTAGCTGCCACACTCCCTTCTCTTTCCCCAAAAACGTCTTGGGTTTCCAGACTAGAATTGAAGGCTTTTTTGACTTGTCTCCCTTAGGAGGTTTATATATATATAAATATATTGGAGTTACTAATATTTATCTGTTTCTGTCCGTTTGCTTATAAGAACCCACTGGACTTGTGACATTTACCAGACAGTGTCTGCAGGAATTTCCAGAATGGGAAAGGTAAAGCCAAACAAAATCTATCTATCCTTTTTTATTTCTATTAGTTTCAATTCATTACAGTGAAAGCTCAAAATGCAAATTGAAGCAAAGAGTGTATCTCAACAAATAGCTATGGCCACTGTTACAAGTTAAAAGTAACCTCTTGTTGTGTAATTGGTAAGCAAGGTAGCAACATTTTGCAACCCCTTCAGGGTTGTGACCAGCCAGGAACAAACATCATAAAAAGAAACAAGATTGCCCAAATAACTTAAAAAGAACGGGCATAACAAGTGATAAAGATATATAAGGACAGTTGATTCCACCTCTCTAGAACCATATAGATCAGGGGTGTCCAGCTTTGGCAACTTTAAGACCTGTGGACTTCAGCTCCCAGAATTCCCCAGCTATGCTGTGCTATGCTGTGCTATGCTGTGCCTGGGGAATTCTGGGAGTTGAAGTCCACAGGTCTTAACGTTGCCAAGGCTGGACACCCTAATATAGACAAAACCATCGAGAGGAAAGAAAGTTCATATATCAGCCCTAGGAAACCACTGAGGGCTTCACCTCTAGGCATGCTAGCATGAATGCCTTCCTCAGTTGGGCCCAATGACACACGCATTCATAGTTTGCCGACTTATGGCCAATGATTAGTGGCAGAAAAATCGATTCTGAGGTGGCACATTTCAGAGGCTGGCAGTTCCACCCAAATCCTGTTTATTTATTTCATTGGCATCCAGATTTTGTTCTAGGCGATGCCAGGTGAAATATTTTAGAGGCAGAAATTTAAGCTGTCCTTGGGTCAGTAAATTTCTCTGAAAAATTATAAAATATGTCACGAGTGCTACATTAGGCAGAATCTGAAGATGCGCCGATGTTCATATAAAAGGAGCGCCAAACCAAGAGGTGTGTTTTACAGCAAAACCATTTTGTAAGTTAGGATGGCGACTATTTTTATTTCTAAAGGAGAAAAGCAACTCTATTTTGCATGAAAATCCTCAAGCACCCCATTTTGATAGAAATAGATAGCTTGCCATCCTGCTCTTAAACCTTCAACAATGCAGAGTCTTTAATTTGCTATTCTTCTTTAAGAATTATGCTGAAAACTGATGGTGGACTTGCTTCTTATTGCTGCTATTTTGGTAAATTGGGAGAGGGGTCTCTCAAGCCTCAGCCAAGGGTACAGTTGCTAATACGTTTGTCTCCTTGCAATCTGTAAATGACACGCTTTATTTCAGCTGGGTTTAATGAAAGGTAAGAAAAAGGCTCTGCTGTTTGATTCACAAATCAGCGATGTGGCTGGCACAACAGGGTGTTATGCCCACAATCGTCCCTGAGGCTCCTTTACATCCATTTCCAGCTGACAGATTGCATTAAGAACCAAGTTCATGATGCAACTTTGGGGTGGGGGGGGCGCAAAAAAAGACCCAGCACGATCTGGGTATGAAACCTGCAAGAAGTACAGCCCGTTTTATGTACAGATTTCCTGCCATTTGGGGACTTTTTGTCAGTTGGAGAGGCGGCAGCTGCTTTATTAATGGGCAAAGAGCATGTTAAGATGAGGACCAAAAAACCAACAACCCCACCATGTTGCTTTGATCTTTTTACAGATCTCCGAAAAAAATGCCAAAGTTGCATGTCACCTATGAAGGGACGATTGAGAGCAACGGGCAGGGAATGCTCCAGGTACGCGTAGAATCTGCACATATCTACAAATCAGTTCTGTGTTAGGTTGTGTCCAAGCTATCACACATCACGCTGCAACAGAGCAATAAGACGGCTCAGCCTCCCGTCTTGGAAAAAGCCTTTTTGACTGACAGTCAGAAGACCTGGATGGAGCATAGGGTTTGTTTGTTTTTCAAATCAGGTGAAGATTGACAAGCGTTGGAGGAGGGTCGGGGGCAGGGTACGGGAGTGCCAGGCTGCCAATTTTTCAGTTCTTGCCCTTTTTTAAACAAAAAAAAAAACAAAACAAAAAAACTGAGCGCAGTATTTCTGTGCCCTGTCTGATGACCAGCTCAGCAAGTTCAGGAAGCTTCATCTGCTGCAGGAGGAATAATTTTGACCTGAAAACCAGTCAGCCAGGACAGTTTGATATGGAGCCTGTCTCGTTCATAATCCTTAGGCATTGTTTGCCTATTTGCAAGTCCGAGAAGAAGAAGAATTTTGAAGTGCGTGAAGTACTCTGACCTATATTGGTTGTTTGGTTGCCTTCTACTTTGAACCCAAATAAATAAGTGTTCCGAACATCCTTTTATTTTCCTTAAACATTTGGGCATGCTCATCCTATTCAGGGCAGAGTGAGTTTGTGGTGACGACCCTGGATAAGGTTCAAGTCTGCGTTTAACCCTAAAAACTCACTACAGAACAGCCATTTTATCTATCTTGATGTAAACCATTGTTTCTCCACCTTGGCAAATTGAAACATGTGGACTTCTGAATTCTGGGGATTGAAGTCCACGCGTGTCTAAAGATGCCAAGGCTGAGGAACATGTCTAAGCAACCTCGTGGGATTATCATTGTGGGGATAATGTCGGACCTTCTTCACAAGAAACCTCTTGAATCCTGGAAAAAAGGCCGGCCGTAAGCGTAAGAGCCATGAACCACAAGCAAGCCACGTAAATACATTTGGGATGCAGCTCAACATTCTTCCTCTGCAAAAGCACCACAAAGGGTTATGTGTGTTTCTTTTTCAATGGTTACGCTTGACTTTTGTTGTTGTTGTTGTTAAGTGGGTTGTGATTGTGACGTGCGTTTTATAAACCAAAATAGTAAGTCTCTAGTTGAGGGCATTTGCGAAGAGACAACAGTCATGTGATTAAGAAGATTGTGCATCACATATCCTGGAGTTAAGAAAAGTAACTGAAATTAATTGCATAAAAGAATGAGGAAATTGGTCTCCTATTCAACCTCACAAAAATACACGAGTTTCTCCAGATTGGAGAATATGCAGAAATGTATTGTGAATATAGTGCCAGAAGTCAGCTTGGTGCCAGTTTTTAGTTGCCACTTAACTAAATTGGTTCAGTGGCGGATGATCATAAATTTGATTAAGAGCTTCTCAGAAAATGGCCGGCCATTTGTGCTCAGACAACATTTTTTATGGGTTTTAATTTTGATTAGCGTCTTTGGGTACTGCTACACTGTGCAAAAAGCTACCAAATGTAGTGAAGTCAGTAGTACGTGTCCTTGCTGTGGGTGGCCATCCCGTTCAGGAATGGCTCAGTTTTTAAGGGAGGAGGAAAGATCTTTAAAGCCCCTCATGGCGAGGGTCCAAGGTTACTGGAGGGACCGTCTCACCCCACTCGTGCCGGCAGAGGAGGCCTGCTGCGGGTCCCGTCAGCCCGATGATTCCGGCTGGCGGGGTCCAGGTGGAGGGCCTTTTCTGCTGGGGCTCCTGCCCTCTGGAACATCTCCCTCCCTGGTGTGAGGTTGGCCCCAGCCCTCCCAACTTTTCGAAAGGGCCCAAAGACGTGGCTTGGGACCCCAGTGGGGGAACAGCGCAATGGAGGGGGCCGATTGAATTATAACAGAACCCACCCTATTATGGTAAGAGGGGTGGCCACTAAATTTAATAAAATAAAATAATAAATAAAATAAAATCTTTGGAGCAGGATGCTGTTAAAACATTTTGCAGTCTCCTGCTTCTTCAGGCATCTTCAGGTGTTGCTTTTTCATATCTTAAGTCTCTGAGGTTGCAAAAGTTCTAGCTGCAGGATCCATTTTCCAGCTGAGCCCAGAAAACTGTCCACTGTCCACTGTTTTTTGTTTTGCTTGAAATAATAAGACAATTTTCCAGTAATGTAATTTTTTAAAATTAAATATGCATTAACATCAACATGGCCTGTTGGTCATGAACCAGCCGTTCAAGAACTGTAGCTCTGTGGGAAGAGGAATGAAAAATGCGTTCAGCTGCATTGTTGTGCTTTAATAAATTTACTTTTGACTGCATTCAGAACATTTTCACCTGAGAGCTGGGATTGTCAATCCTGTTTCAGCTTGTCTCTCTGAATAAACAAAGCAAATTGCCTTGCTAGAATATACTGTAGCCAGACTAAATATTTGAAAGATAATATTGGTTTTTAATGTTTTGGTATTTTGAGCAAGGCTTCAAAGGCAAGCTTTTGCACCATTTTTAGGGTAACCTTTGGCATTCTTAGCATATTTGCATATCTTAAAAGTGCAGTTTAAGAAACCCAAAATGAACGTTAGAGTAGCCATGTCCAGTTAACAGAATGAAGTCGAGTGGCTTGTGATCAGAATCAACCCCGTAGCCGTCAGCCACAAGAGATGGACATTCCCGTTCGTTTTTGGACTTACTGAACAGGGCCAGCAAAGGCAGATATTCAGAAATTAACGCTCAGTGTATCTTGTCAGGTTGACTTTGCCAACCGCTTTGTCGGAGGGGGCGTCACTGGAGCAGGATTGGTGCAAGAAGAAATCCGCTTCTTAATCAATCCAGAATTGATCGTCTCTCGTCTCATTACGGAGGTCCTGGATCACAACGAGTGTCTGATCATCACAGGTGAGTAACTCTGCCTCGAGATGGATTCCTGTGGGTTCCAGAACCCAGCTGTGATTCACAAGTGCTACTGGTAAAGAGCGAGTCAAGACTGACCATGTTCTAGAATTGAGGTTATACAATGAGATCTGGAATTGTGCTTGTGGTAAAGGGCTCCGTGGTGCTCTCTGCGCTTGCTTGTTTTCTTGAAGATGTTTCATTATTCAACCAAGTAACATGGTCAGTGCTAGATGATGTTGGGTAATGAAAGGTCTGGAAGGAAGGAAACGAGCTCAGAGAGCACCAAGGAGCCCTAATTTAAACCCTGAACTACAAATATTCTCCTTTATTAGTCTTTGTTGTATTGCAAAGAACGGAGGGCCTCGCCTGTTACTTTTCTACAATGTGGGATTTCTTAGTCATATTTTTTCATAGTTTACTAGCTTTTCCTTTCCACAATCAGAGAAACATTTAAAAAGAGCAGTTATCCAGATTCACAGTTCATTTTGGAGATGTTGGCGCTATTATTTCCCTTATTTTCTTCCCATCTTTAGTTTGGCTCTTCTGGGTACAATAATTCATATAATTTCTGGTCCTTCTGTAAAAGGGTTTCCTTGGGAAAGCTGAGGTCACTGGAAATTTTTATCCACGTAACGGTGGATTTAAGACCGAAACCACGAGAAGTCACCTTTGCTGCAAGATTTAGCCTTCTTTAAAACTCTCCAGTCAATTCATGAGTCCCAGAAGAGAAATTCTCCATTGATTAGACAAAAATGGATCACTTGTACTGAAAGATGAAAGAAGCGAACGGTTTCTCAGTTTACCAGAACAGAATCCTGCCGTTTTTAGCAAGGCCATTCCTGTAGCATTTTGCAGCTCTTAGCCTCTAATGCATATGGTGATCTGATTTTGAGGATCGATTGAGAAATTAGAATCTCATTTCCCATTGTTTGGCAAGGTGGTTTTTATTAGAGGCCGAGTATATTACAGGGATTTTTCCTGTGCAAACTATTGAATAAGAAATATGACAATCTTTATAAACACTCTAGAGGTTTTAACTTAAGTGGATTCACGGCTGTGGGGTTTTTGCAAAATATTCTCAGTAACAGCTAAATAACTCTCGTATAGATGTTTCGGTTTGATTGGAAAATAAATTCCATTTTTAAAGAGCAGCGGTGCTAGGGGTTGGCAAATTAGTTTGAAGAAGTAAACAGAAAGTGGAAAACAGAGAGATGAGCCATGAACTGGTTGTGCTTACATTGATTTGAAGATACTGTTAATAGGAAGATGAATAAATAAATCAATTGCCCTTAGATTGGTTTAAAGCGTTGCTTAAACATAAGTAAAATTGATAGGCTTTAACAGGATCCAAATGACAATGATTGTATGTCTGATTGAGAGTACTTTATAATTATAATTTCATCATTAATCTGTATGAAAATCTTCCCAGTGGGAAGTGAAGTTAGTTTTAGCTGAGGGAACTAACCCAGGGAGCAACTGGAGAATAGTCCTATGATCTTTATGAATTGTTGGCTAAATGTCAGTATTGTTTGCATATTAGGACCTGATGAGGTAGGGTAGGGCTGAGGACTTTGTGCAATATCTGCACGACAAAATCGCTCAGATTCGAGAGGGCTTGGACTCCGACTGGATGGGTTCAGATGGGATGACGGAGGCAGGTTTTGAGAATGTTAGCTGGGAGGAGTTTGACCTTGTGACTCCGGAGGACGTGGTCAGGGTCCTGGGTAGGCTGAATGCAACCACATGTTTGCTGGACCCGTGTCCCTCCTGGTTGGTGCTGGCTTCCTGGGAGGTTACACGTGGCTAGCTCCAGGAGATTATAAATGCTTCTTTGAGTGAGGGTTTCTTTCCCGCTGCTTTGAAAGAGGCGGTGGTGAGGCCCCTCCTCAAGAAGCCTTCCCTGGACCCAGCTGTTTTATCAAATTATCGTCCTGTCTCCAACCTTCGTTTTGTGGCGAAGGTTGTTGAGAGTGTGGTGGCATGACAGCTTCCTCAGCACCTGGATGAAGCAAATTATCTGGATCCGTTCCAGTCGGGTTTCAGGCCCGGGTATAACACGGAAACAGCATTGGTTGCATTGGTCGATGATCTCTGGAGGGCTCGGGACAGAGGGTGCTCCTCTGTCCTGGTCTTATTAGATCTCTCAGCGGCTTTTGATACCATCGACCATGGTATCATGCTGCGCCGGCTGGAGGGGTTAGGAGTGGGGGGCACCATTATGCGGTGGTTCGCCTCCTTCCTCTCCGGCCGTACGCAGTCTGTGTTGACAGGGGGACAGAGGTCGACCCCAAGGCGCCTAGTCTGTGGAGTGCCGCAGGGATCGGTCCTCTCGCCCCTCCTGTTCAACATTTATGTGAAGCCGCTGGGCGAGATCATCCGTGGCTTTGGGGTGAAGTACCATCAGTACGTTGATGACACTCAGCTGTACATTTCCACCCCGGGCCACCCCAATGATGCCATTGAAGTGATGTCCCGGTGCCTGGAAGCCGTACGGATCTGGATGGGGAGGAACAAGCTCAGACTTAACCCTTCCAAGACCGAGTGGCTGTGGTTTCCGGCGTACTGTCATAGTCAGTTGACTCCATCACTGACTATTGGGGGTGAGATCTTGACCCCCTCAGAGAGGACTCGCAACTTGGGTGTCCTCCTGGACTCGCAGCTGTCCTTGGAAGATCATCTGATGGCTGTGGCCAGGGGGGCTTTCTATCAGGTTTGCCTGATTTACCAGTTGCGTCCCTTTCTGGATCGGGACTCCCTACAGTCACTCACGCCCTCGTCACTTCCCGTCTGGACTATTGTAACGCTCTCTACATGGGGCTCCCCTTGAAGAGCACCCGGAGGCTCCAACTGGTCCAGAATGCGGCCGCGCAGGTAATTATGGGAGCGACTTGACGCTCCTGTGTAACACTGCTCCTGTGCGAGGTGCACTGGCTCCCGGTGGTCTTCCGGGTGCGATTCAAGGTGTTGGTCGCCACCTTTAAAGCGCTCCATGGCATGGGCCCTGGGTATCTACGAGACCGCCTTCTGCCACCGATAGCCTCCCATCGACCGGTACGCTCCCACAGAGAGGGGCTCCTCCGGGTGCTGTCAGCTAGACAATGCCGGCTGGCAACCCCCAGGGGGGAGAGCCTTCTCTGTGGGGGCACCTACCCTCTGGATTGAGCTGCCCCCGGAGATTCGTAGGATTACCGACCTGCGTACCTTTCGCCGTGCCCTAAAAACATTACTATTCCAACAAGCAGGACTGGCCTAAATAATAATAATATTTTTACTTTTTTAATGGGTTGTTTTATTAGAATTTTCAGCCAATTGATTTAATTGTTTTAACTTGTTTTTAATTTTTCTGTTGTCATGGTTTTATTTCTGGCTGTACACTGCCCTGAGTCCTTTGGGAGAAGGGACGTATAGAAATTCAATAAAAATAAAAAATAAAAATAAAATAAAAAAATGATCCTGCAAAGCTTGGCAGAAAGAGATTAAAAACGGTCCTTGCGGGTAAATCAAACATTTTTGGATCCTACATGCAAAAGGTGAAGCTTCTAAGATCCAAACCAAAGTAAAATTCTTTTTCAAAATCCTTTAGTGATTCTGGTATTTTCTAATTCATATCTGTGGTGCAGCGTTCTACTCTCTTAATGGAAAATGCCACTTCATCATTTTCATTAGATCTCTGGCTGGTTTCCCCCTCTGCTTATGCAGATTTTTGCTGTGTGCAGCTATCTGTCTGATAGATTACATTTTTTTCAATGATGTATCTTGACTCAGTGGCCTAATGGATAGGACTGTGCTGCTGAATTTTGCAGAGGAGACTGAGAAATTGCAAAGAAATTAGATTTGTTGCAATTGACCGGCATCTGCTTGAGATCATCCCAGTAATAAATATGAGATCAGTCATGCAAAAAACACCAATAGATACCTTTCCTAAGCCACCAATGAATCAAAAGAACCTCATGATCCAATAATTGTATTCCGAGATGTTTTGTTTCTTGTTTTGAGAGCTGGAGACAGAATGTGAAAATTAATACATCCGAGTGCTTCATGTATATAACTCTAAAATTTAAAATTAATACCATAGGAGGCTTTTATGAATATGGTGGGTTTCCTATGCAGAGTCTGCTGACTGTGACAGCTGGGAAAACTGGGGAAATGTTGTCTGCTTTAGCAGCTCAGAAAGAGCTGCTCTGGGTGCCCTTCGGAACATTTCCAAAGAAATGCCTTTCAAGCAATTTTCTGAGTCAATGCGTTGGGCCCCTAGTTCCAAACGGTGCCATTGGGGAGGGAATTCTGGGAGTTGAAGTCCACACATCTTTATGTTGCAAGGTTGAGAAACACTGATTTAGAATATGCTACGTTTCCTGGAGAGAGAGGAGGGCTCTTCCCCTTTGCATTGATCTCCTGCGCTTCTGTTTTTTAATATCCCATCCAGGTTACTTTTGGCTTCATCGTTCTTCTCCTTCCTCCCCATTGCTGGCCTTGAAAACTGAGAAAAGCTGGAGAGGGATCCAGAAAGTGCTAGAATAAAGTAAAATGCTCATCTGAGAATGAGTTCTTTAATGCCACGGTTTTTTTTTTTTTTTTAATTCAGGGACTGAACAGTACAGTGAATATACTGGCTATGCAGAAACCTACCAGTGGGCCAGGAGCCATGAAGATGACAGGCCCAGGTAAAATTCTGACCCTCCAAATTAACTTTATTAATTTGTATTGTTATTATTATAATATATTTGTATTGTATTGTATTGTATTGTATCGTATTAGTATTGACATAATTTTTTGTTTGGACTTTTATATGTTTATTTTAAGTTAGTTTCATTGCATTGCATTACACTAGTCAACAAAACAAAAATGTGGCAGCATTGAAGGCTCAACACACAGTAGTTTTAACACAGTATTTATGGATCAT